GGTAGAATTCTTCAATTTCATCATCACTGGCTTTAGTGGTTGGTGTATAAATTTGAATAATAGTGCTATTAGCTAGTCTTCCTTGTAGGTGTATGGATATTATCCCATCACAGATAGCATTGTACATTCAAGATAGATCTTGAAATGTTCTGTTTGATGATGAATGCACACCATTCCTCTTCAATTTGTCATTCCTGGCATAGTAAACCATGTGATTGTCAGATTCAAAATGGCCAATACCAGTCCATTTCAGCTCACTAATGCCTAGAATATCAATGCTTACGCAGTCCATTTCATTTTTGACAATTTTGAATTTTCCTAGATTCATTCTGTGTTCTGATTATTAATGGATGTTTATAGCTGAGTCTCTCTTCCTTTTGAGTTGTGTCCATCAGCAAATGAAGGTCCGGAGGACATTTACTCCATTCACATCATTATGGTCAAATCTACTTTGAGAAGGCAGCTTTTCCCCACTTGTATTTTGAGTGCCTTCCAACCTGAGGGGATCATCTTCTGGCACTATAACTGACAATATTCTTGTGCTCGCCATCATGTTTCAATATTCATTATTCTGGTACTAACAAGGCCCACTGCTAGTCATAAAGTTTCAGTGACTCAAATAGTCCGTCTTTCCCTCTTCCTTGTCTGTTTTCCTCTGGAAGCTCAGCTGAAACCTGTGTACGATGGGTGACCATTCTGGTATTTAAGATACCTGTGACATAGCTTCCAGAATCACGGCAACATGCAAGCCACCACAGTATGACAAAGTGACAGGTGAGTGGTGATACTAAAAATTATACAATGAAAAAAAAGGTTTCTGCTACTTGGTCCCTCGGTCAATGGTTTTCCTCCATATTTCTTGGGTTCCTATGTATCTTTTTCAGGATTCCCTCCCATATATATGAATATATCTATTGTTGTTGTTGCTAAGTGTTGTCGAGTTGATTCCAACTCATAGCAACACTGTATAGGGTTTCCGAGGAGCGGCTGGTGAGTTTGAACTGCAAATATTTCGGTTTAAACCAACTTTGTGATCCAGTGCATTATCCTACAGCACCATACCAGAACTCCAAATATATCTATGTTTGTGCATCATTTAATGTATCTTATTTAATATAAGTGTCTGTTAAGGAACCCTGGTGGTGCTGTGGTTGCTAACCTCAAGGTGGGCAGTTCAGACCCACCATCCACTTGTTGGGAGAAAGATGAGGCTGTCTGGTCCCATAAAGAGTATATAATCTGAGAAACACTATGTAGAGCCGCTATGAGTCAGAATTCAGTTAATGGTTTTTAATTTTTATATATGTGTGTATACGTATATCGAGTAACTTTGGTGGCACAGCAGTTAAGTGCTCAGCTGCTAACTGAAAGATTGGCAATTTGAATCTACCCAATTGCTCTGAGGGAGAAAACCCTGGAAATCTGCTTGCAAAAAGATTATAACCAAGAAAGTCCTATGAGGCAGTTCTATTCTATCACCTGGGATCACCCGCCATGAGTCAAAAATCTGACAATATACATGTATGCATGTATGTTGTTGTTAAGTGCCATCGAGTCAGTTTCAACTCATAGTGACCTGTATAGGGTTTCCAAGAAGCAGCTGGTGAGTTTGAACCACCAACCTTGTGGCTCAAACCGACCTTGCAGTCCAGTGCTTATCCTACATGTATATATACATGTTGCAGACCGTGTAAACCTGGTCAGAAGTTCAAGGCCCACTGGGCCCGAGTGTTGCAGGCCGCAGGCTCTGAGGAACAGATTCTAGCTATCTGGCAGGCATAGCAAATTGTTTTTCATCTTAGTGTTCAGTTATGTTTTATTAACTGCATGCATGGAGCCCTTGATATCCACAGATAAATGTAATATTTTCCTAAAAGCCAAGACTGTAAAATTCCAAACAGGCAAAGTTTTTCCTTCAGAGAATTCATTCAAAGTAAATTGGGTGGCTCCCCTGTCTCTGTTCTAAGGACAATAGGAATGCCCTCCCTAAAGTGTTTCCAGGTGCTGCCTATTCACCCAGGGTCTCTTTTCCTGAAGAACCTGGGCTAGGCAGCTGACACAATGGGAATCCTCCCAATCCTCCCTTTCCTCCCCCCATTTGAGGCTAGGTGCTAAAAGGTATGTTAATTAAGCTTGAGAAACCAAGTTGCGGTAGTGAGATTCGAACCTGCAAAGTATGATGTAAAGTTGCCTGAATGTCTGGAAAAGTAAGATCGACAGCTTTACCTTATCTTAGTCCCTCCTAGCTTTGTGTAAAGTTCCTCCCCTAAAGAAAACGGAGGTGCAGGACGAATCCAGGTGCATTACGACTGGCAAGGCGTGCGTTACAGCATGCAGGGGGCTCAGTCTAGCATTGCAACCATACTGCATGCTTAGCCAAGATGTTTACTATGCAGGATATTACGGCCTTCGTGGCTGAGATGTTTGCAACGCAGGATCTGCCTGATGCCAGTCCAGCATTCACTCTGGTTTCGGGGTGCCTCTTTGTCTCTCTCTTTGTCTCTTTCTGTGTATTCTTTCTATATCTTTGTCACCGCCAGATATCCCCTCCTCGTGAACCAAACACTCGTGAACAACCAAACAACTATGTCAAGGCCAGTCCCCGGCATATACACACACACACACACATATATCAAGGCCAGTCCCCGGCATACACACACACACACACACACACACACACACACACACACATATATATATATAGTGGTGGTGGAGGTGTGCTGTGGAGTCAGTTCCAACTTATAGCGACCCTGCATAGGGTTTCCAAGGCTATAAATCTTTATGGGAGCAGATAGATAGATAGATAGATAGATAGATAGATAGATAGATAGATAGATAGATAGATAGATTTCTTTTTCACATAGCACATCAAGATACACACTTTTCTACCATTCTCTTTTCACTTCCTATTTCTCGATAATCATTTCCTATGCAGGCAGTATGGGCAGTTTCCTGGTTAGGATCATTCAACTTATGAGACAGCTCATATAAACAAACAAACTCACTGCAATGGGTGCCCTTTAATGCTATGTAAATTTGACCTCACTTTGAAACCATTAAACCAACCCCTTAATCTCAATAAATTCTTCATCACAATCACCTTAGGTGCTTCAGAAAATTTCACCAGAAGAGTATAAAGAGAACCCACAGACTGGGAAAAAACTTTCTGCTGTGACATATCAGACAAGGGGTTACTGTCTAAAAGTTAAAGAACACTTCAACACCTCCATAAGAAGACAAATAATCCAATGAAAAAAGTGGGCAGAGGACATGAACACTTCCAAAGATGACATTCAGGGGGTCAGCAAACATATAAGAAATGTTCACCATTACTAGCCATTATCCAAGCATTAATAGCAAAGTTCGAAAAAACAGAAAACAAATGCTGGCAAGAGTGTGGAGAATATGGGACCCACCTACACTGCTGGCAGGATTGGAAAGGGTGCAACCACTGTGGAAAACCCTATGGCACTTTCTCAGAAGATTGGAAATAGAGATATCGTATTATCCAGCCATCCCTCTGCTTGGTATATATAATCCTCAAGAAGTAAGAACCATGACACAAATAGATATATTTACAATAGCAAAAAGATGGAGACAGCTAGATGCCCATCAGCAGAGAAATGGTTGAACAAACTTTGGTACATGCACACACTAGAATATAATGAACATTGAAGAATAATGATGAATATGCAAAACACTGTATAACATGGAGGAACCTGGAGGACATTATGCTGAGTGAAATGCAAAGGGACAGATATTGTATGAGACCACAACTATAAACAGTCAAGAAAAAGCTTTTGGTATTTAAGATGGTTATATGATGGTTACCAGGGATGGAAGGGAAAATTATTCCCTGAGTAGATTGTAGACACGTGCTAATTTGAGAGATGGGAAGGCAATTGAAAAGAGAGACTTTTTCACTGGATAGAATTGTTAAGTGCTGTCGAGTCGGTTCTGACTTATAGCGACCCTGGAACTATAGGCTTCCAAGGAGCTGCTGGTGAGTTTGAACCACCAACCTTGATGTAGACATGTGCAAAATCCTCCCCCCCCCCCATGTACTGGAAAAGAAACAATGTATATTTATTTTCTCATTGGACAAACCATTGGGAACTTTCCCTCAACAAAAAAAAAAAAAAAAAAAGGAAGGAAAGAAGTGGGGAGAAAAGAGGGAAAGAAAGGAGAGATTGGGGAAAACAAGAAGCGGAAATGGTTAATAATAATGTTTGTGCACCATGGGGTGTATGGTTGGTGTGGCTGGATTGTACATGTTAAAATGGCTGAAATAGCAAATGTTTTATATATATATATCTACAATTTAAAAACAAAAACCAGCAGAAAGGAGAGTTTCCTAACCCCCCAGGTGTTTTTCCAGTCTACTTGTGACCTTAACAAATTATTCTCAGTATCCATAATGTTTTCCAGTTGTAGGGAGGAGGTGAGAGGCAATACACCGAATAAAGTGCTTGGCATACAACAACAACTCAAAAGATGGTAACTAAAAAGAAACACTTAAAGAAGAAGAAAAATAAAACTCCTAAGTAATCACGACTGGCAAAGGAAAGGAGTCTTCCGGACTGAAAAGTAGGCTGGGCGGTGCCCGAAGCTTTGTTCTTTCCTCAAGTTCTCCCGCTGCTTCTTCCTGCCTCGAATAGGAAAGCTGAAATCTGGCCGCCAGCACGTCCGCTGACAGGATTGGCCCTAAAACGGGTGTGGGTGTTGGACTTCTACCAGAGTTACCTGGAAGGAGCCCAAGGAGGGCTTAAGTCTTCACCTTTCAAACCCTCGGCTTCCCACAGCCGATCAGAGCCCAGCCTCCCTTTTCATTTTCTAGCGTCAACACAGGCACGTGGCTGCCAGCCTCCGGGTGGTTGAGTATTTCAGAGCCGCTTGCTGGGTCGGCTGTGTGCTGGCTGACTGCACTTGCTGTGTTGGTCCCAGGTGCCCTGGCTCAATCGGACGCGTGTGAAATCTAATCAGCGCTGTTCTCGGCAGCCATGGCTCCCTTCCCACCCCGCAGTTGCAGGAAGCCCGCTCTCCCCAAGGCCTTTGCCGGCGGTGCCACTGCTCCGGTGAGCGCTGGGAATGCCGCCGGGGTGACCTCTGCCCGGATGCCGGGTGGCCACGGTGGGCTCCCCTACAGCGCCACAGGTCCAGCGTGCACCGCCTCCCCTGTCTTCCAGAGCAGCTGCTGCGCGGAGGGAGAGATCAGCTGCCAGCGACGCAGCCATTTCTGTCCCCAGCCTAGCTCGGCGGAGGGAGAGAGCCAATCGCAGTCCTTACGTAGTGTGAGGTTGCGGGTGGAAACTGCCTGGGTGTAGAGCGGAGCAAAGCCATTTTCTGGGAGGATTTGGAATCATTTCTGCTCCCGTGTTGGGGAATTTTAGCGCCTTCGGGCCCCCCTCTGAAACTGACACGAGTAATATGATGTCGGACAAAGATTATGTCATGGGGAACCAACCAGCAGACCCTACTATTATGAGTGCCGACCCTACTCCATGATTGTGAACAGACAATGTCCTGGGTCTCAGCCTTCTCATCGATACAAATGCTGGAAAGAAAGAAAATCTAGCCAGGTCAAGTACTGATAAAGTTGTAAGGGAAATGGGTTCTCTTCATTTGTCCATGGTAGCCTGAAGTTGACAGTTCGAACCTGTGAAAGAAAGGTGTGCAGATCTGCTTCCATTAAGAAGACATATGGACCAGTTCTACTCCGCAACACATGAGTTTGTCATGAGTCAGGGCCAATTTGGCAGCAGCTAACAATAGTGAAACAAAGCATTCATCCTCTATGCCCCATAATTCTATTTCTTGGTTCCTAGCCTAGAGTCCTGGTGTGGCGCTGTGGGTTAATGCGCCAGACTGCATAGCCGTTTGAACTGCAAGGTTGGCGGTTAAAGCTCACCAGCTGCTTCTCGAAAACCCTATACAGTGTCGCTATGGGTCGGAACCGACTCGATGGCATTCACAACAACAACAACCTAGAATTCTAAGGAGCCCTGGTGGTGCAGTGGTTAAGTACTCAACTTTTAATTGAAAGGTCAGTGATTTGAACCCAGCAGCCGCTCCATAGGACAAAGATGTGACTACCGTAGAAAAAAGTACAGCTTTGAAAACCCCGTGGGATAGTGTTTTTCTGACCTATACAGGGATCTTAAAACCACATATTCTTAAAGAAAACACTAAAAACAATATGCCAAAGTATAAACAATAGTTCATCAGGGATAAGAAATATAGGTATTTTTTTTTCCTTGTACTTTTTTGTCTTTGTTTTCATTTTTTAAAGTGCAGTACAGGGGTTCAGTAGTGACTGTGTGATTCATAAATTCCCTTCATGCTTGTAATCGTGTAATTCTAAGTTGTCATCCTTCAAGTCCTAGCCACACTCTGAAGTCTCACAAGGCCTTTGGTGTTCCTGCCTCAGTGCCCTCTCCATTCTGAGTCCACTCTTACCATCCTTCCACTTGAAATCCATGAGCTCCAATCAGGACAAGCTACTTGCAGCTCATCTACAGTGCTAGAACCCTCTCTCCTGAACATTTAGTTGAGGTGTTTCCTCTTTCAGACATACTTTCCCATCCTCTTTGCGAGCAAACATCCTTCAGGTCTCATTAGCTCAGCTATCCCTTCCTCTAGGACAGGGGTAGGGAACATCTGGCCCTGCCAAGGCAACCACAGTTCCAGCCATCATATTAGGTGTGAGTTAATTAAATGTTTGACCAAATATAGTAGACTAATTTTTAAGTTGATAATATATTGTATTGCCTATAATGATGTTTTAAATTTTGGCAGCATAAAAGTTCCCTATCCCAGGGATAAGAGTCTTATGATTCAATAGGTCAGTAATTGTTATCATGACTAATTACGACTATCACAACTATGAAGGTAGAAGTTTTGTAACAAAAATGGGGAATAGTTAATCTTGCAGTCCAGAAACAGAGGACCCTAAGACCATCAAGGGAGAAGAGTACAAATGGAATGCAGGACCCTATCCATAGAAACAGTGACACCAGAGATGGAGACAGAGATGAGGACATGGAGAGAGGGAGCAGCTGAGGACTCTAGACTCATGGAAAGAGAGGGGCTGAGTGCTGGCGGCCAGGAGGCAGGCTTGCAGAATGTGCCCTTTGGTGGTTTAAATTATTATATATTCCTGAGTGTTTTTGTGTACACTTCCCCACCCCCACCCTACCCCAAAAAAAGAAAAACAGAGGGAATGGAAGCAAATACTGTTGAATGATGATGCATGGAGGAGATTGTAATCATTGCAATGAAACAATGGTGTAAAGCCAATGTTCTCCCATGTACACTATCACTCAGGTCACAATAAAAAAAAAACAAAAAAAAGTTCCCCACCCCTTCTGGAGTCCTGGTGTGGCACTGCAGGATAATGCACTGGACCTCTGGGTGGTTTCAGTTGCAAGGTCAGTGGTTCAAACTCAGCAGCCACTCCTTGGAAATCCTATTCAGGGTCACTGTGAGTCGAGATTGACTTAACAACAAGCCCTTGTCTAAGAGGCCTAACCTGTTCTCCCTGCCGTCACTCCCTCGGCACTCTGAGTTGATTGCCTATTAACTGTGAAGTCTTGAGGCCAGGAACTTGCTTTCTTTATTCCTGTATTCCCCAGGCCCAATATTTCATAGTTCCTCAGTAACAACTTCTCTGGAATGAGTTTCCTAATGTTCATTCTAGAAATTCTGAAATTTTGGAGTTCTACTTGCCCAGGCAGAAAGTAGAACTAAGATTTGAACTCAAGGAGTCAAACTTTAGAGCCCACACTCTTAACCACTACAATCCTAGTCCTAATGTCTTCTGTTCATCCGTGCCCCAAATATGTAGAGAACCTACTGCATGTCAAGCACTGTTCTATAGTAATGAAGAAACTTAACACAGTCCCTTTTCTCATAGGCCTTACCTTAAAGCGGGGGAGGGACACAGAAAATACACAAAATATTGTGTTTAAATTTATGATAGAAGAAATGAAATATTCAGCGTAGTGGTTACGAGTCGGACTGCTAACCTCAAAGTCAGCAGTTCAAAACTACCAGCCGTTCCGCAGTAGAAAAATGAGGCTTTCTGTTACCTTAAAGATTTACAGCCTCAGAAACCCTATGCAGGGTCGCTATGCGTCAGAATCGACTCCAGGGCACATAACCACCACCATCACCATGAGAGGAGCAGGTTGGAGAGTAGGGGAGAATTCAGTTTGGGGTTCATCTAGTTTGAGATGCCTATGAGAAACCAAGTAAAGATGCAAAATAGGAGTTGAATTAAATAAGTCTGAAATCCAAAGAAATAAATTGGAAGTCAACAGGGCACACTCGCTAGGATCACCAGGGTTGTTGATTGGGTATAAAGAAGTCCAAGTTCTGCCACAGTTATAGGTGAAGAAGATGAGGAAGAGTTAGCAAAGAAGACCAAGAAAGAATAACCAGTGAGGAAGAAAACTGTACCCATGAGTCCAACTGAAAAGTGGTTCAAGATCTGCAGTGTCAAGGATGATGAGAAATGGGAACTGGCCATTGGGTTTAGCACTGTGGATGTCAGTGATGATGTTCACAGGAGCAGTGTTTGTAGACCGGGGTGAAGAAAACAAGGGAAAGGAGCTGGAGATGGCAAGGAAAGAACCCTTTCAGAGAAATGGGAGCGTTCTGAGGGGGGCTGGAAGTTATTGGAGAGCTTTTAGGTAGGATGAATTGTAACATGTTTATATGCATGGGAAAGATTGGGTGCAGTGGGAAGAACCAACTCTGGCAAGGGATTTGGCACAAGTACAGGATTTCCATACCCTCCTTACTATACTTCTCTCCCTCCTCTTTCTCCACTCTTGTATCTCTGTTTTCTCCTGGACCTGCTTTCACCTTCAAGCATGGAATGCAATAGTATCCAATTCTGATTTCAGATTATCTTTACCTTTCTTCATACAAAAGCAGTTGTCTGTATCAGGCCACCAAAACAGGATCATTTCTGTCCCAGATGAGAATGCGTTGACCGTCATAGGCCCCAATATGCATATGTCTTTTTATGCCTGTGCTCAAATTACCACAGATCTGGTTTGCCTTTTCTTGGATATGTATCTCTCTCTCTTTTTTTAAAGTTTTTTTATTGTGAATTGAATGATAGTTTACATGCGGGAACATCAGTTTTACATTCATTGTTTCATTGCAATGCTTACACTCTCCTCCGTGCATCATCATTCAACAGTATTTGCTTCAGTCCCCGCTGTTTTTGTTGTTGTTTAGGGGGTGGTATATACAAAAACACTCAGGAATATATAATCATTTAAAAAACCAAAGGGCACATTCTGCGAGCCCACCTCCTGGCAACTAGCACCTGGCTGCCAACACACAGCCTTTCTCTTTCCATGAGACTTGAGTCCTCAGCTGCTCTATCTCTCCATGCCTTCATCTCTGCCTCCATCTCTGGTGTCACTGCTTCTCTGGATAGGGTCCCACATTCTGCTCACACTCTTCTCCCTTGATGGTCCTAGGGTCTTGGGTGTGTATCTTATGTCCCCAGTAAGAATCTTGAAGACAGCAACTATACCTGGGGCTACTTTGTTGTTGTTGTTGTTAAGTGCTGTTGAGTCGGTTCCGACCCATAGCGACCCTGTACAGGGTTTCCGAGGGTGTAAATCTTTACGGGAGTAGAAAGCCTCATCTTTCTCCCGCGGAGTGGCTGGTAGTTTCAAACCGCTGACCTTAAGGGGCTACTTTATGTCCCCCATAATACCTAGTGGACTCCTTGTGTGGCACTATAGGATCAACTGGAATTAGAACCACAAGGTCTACAGTTCAAATCCACCAGCTGCTGCTCAGAAACGCTATCCAGGGTCTTCAGATGTCAGAATCAACTCAACAGCACTTAACAACAACAACGATACCTAGTCAGGTGCTGTGCAAAGAATATCCACTTAAGCAACATGTATCGAGTACTTACTGGGCTGAGGTCTATCCTAGGTTTGTCTCAAAGAACTCATCATGATCCAGATATGTAATCAAATAACTAAAAATAGACTTCTATACGGTATACAAGAGAAATGTAGGGTGTAGTTGAGGCCTAAGGAAAGAAGAAGTTAACTCTAGGGCAAGTGGCAGGAGAGACTTCATAGAAAGGATGATCATCA